CCCCCCCCCCCCTGCTTTCCTCCCCCCCCTGACCCAGCTCCCAATGCCACCGCCGTCCCCACCTTAAAGTGCACGTTGGGGTGGAAGATCTTGGTGCGGTAGCGCACCGCAGGCGGCACCAGGGGGTACTGCTCCGGCACTGTGATGGACAGCTCAAACACGCCGCCCTCGTACGGCGTCTCGCTGGGGCCCTGGAATAGTGAGGGGCGCGGAGGGAGGCGCGGGAGCGGGTCAGGGTGGGGGCCCGGGTCGCCTGATGGGGGCGGGATCATAGGGTGACACGGCCGCGCCGCTCCTGCAGCCCTGCGCGTGCCGCCCCGCGGCGCCGCGTGCGTCGCCCGCGCGCCGGTGCCCATCGCCGCAGGCGCCCCCTGATTGAACCTTGCCTTGAGCAGCGCGCGCCAGAGGAAGAGGTTGCTCTCGCTGGGGATGAGCGTGATGCCGGTGGTGTCGCTGGCGCCGCTGCGCACCACCTCCTTGTACTCCTGGGGTGTTTTTTTGGGGGGGGGGAGTGGGGGCAGAGGAAAGGCGATGGTGATGTTTGGGTGGGTGCAAGGGCGCAAGCAAGGGGATGGGAGGATGAGGGCGGAGCATTTTAGGACGACGGACCCAGTGATCGGCCACGGGCTGCGGCGGTTTCTGCGCGGCCGCTGGCATCGCGCTGATGAGGAGACAAGAGCAGCACAGGCAACATCATAGCGTGGCGGTATCTATGCTGCTGCAGCGAAGGATCACAGCCACACAATGCTGACAACACCATAGACTGGCATTCGGACCGCTGCTGCTCGAGTGTGCAGCATACGCGTCAGGTGAGCACGGCAAGCCAACGGTGCAGGCATCCTCCTATGCGAAAAATCACTGCTGCACGCACCTTCAGCAACCGTTGCCGCGCCGTCGCCATGCGAAGCGCCGCCTGGCAGCTGGGATACTTCGAGAAACACTGGGCCACCCAGTCCCAGTGAGCTGCTGGCACGACAGGCAGCAGCGCGACGCCGAGCACCGCAGCGGCGGGGACAGTGCTCAGCAGCACACGATGCTGCCCTATGCACCTGCTGAGCGACGAAAGCTTCTCTGATTGCGGTCGGCTCTCGGGGTGAAGGGCAAGCACGCAGCGGACAAAGATCACAGCGAGCCTGTGAGCAAGACCAACAAGGCGAATAAGAGAGATGTCGCAGCTTATGTTGCATCGCCCAATGAATGATAAGTGGTTTGCACAAACCTTCTGGCACCCTAGCTTTTGCATTGCCCTCTCTCATCAAGCTCAAGCTGAGCTCATTGCGCCGCACAGCATGCACGACATGAGCTTGGTGCTTTGGGAAAGGACGCCCTCACACGCTGCAGTGGACGCACACATCCTAATCTGGTGACTTCCCTGACACGAAACACTAGCTGCACTCCATCAACTTGTCCAGCCAGGCCGTGGTGTCAAGCAGTGAGCGTTACACCCTGCGTCACAACTCCTTGGCAGCCGCTGTGAATGCAGGACGATAAGAGCCACAATGCCCACCGACAGCGGTGAGCTGCGTTTGAACAAGCTACCCAAAGTCAAAGGGAGACAAAGCGCAACTGCGCCGTGAATGCATACTGAAGCGGGAAAAAAGACAAGAAATCCACAACATTGTCAAGCTGTTGGCCGTTGGCAGGCCACGTGCGTCGAGGCACCGTGCAAAACCGCTGCCAGCACTGTGGTACGCTATAGCAAGGGCATGCATGTGTCCGAGCGGGGGCCTCTGGCGAGCTAGAGGCCCTGTTGGTTATCAACAGACTGCATCCAGCCGCATGGCGCCCACAACGAATGCCACCCGCTGCAGCAGCTACGGGGGCGGCCAGGCGCCAAGCTCAGCCGGCCCAGCCCACCAGCCAAGGCCCGCCATCGCAGCTGCTTCTGGTGCAAGCTCAGCGGCGAGATCTTGCGACGCGACTGCCTCGCAATGCACTTTGTTAGCGGGTCGCAGCCCCATGGCTGCTACCGCTCGTGCTGTGACGGGCGTATTGCTGCTGCGTCGTCGCTGCAGCTGAGGCGGCACCAGCTGCTGCTGCTCGTGCTGGGCAAAGTTGATGTCTGGCACTGCCTTGGGGTTCCGCGCCAGCTGCTGCAAGCCTCTCTGCGTCAGCACCCACTCCACCTGCAGCAGCAGCAGCTAACCTCTGGCTGCCGATGCCCCTTGCACCAAACCAGCCGCCACGACCGCCTCACGCCTGGCTGCTCGGCGGCTTCCAGGCCTCATACTTGAGCCAGTTGCGCTTGTCGGGGTCGGCCCATGCACCCTTGGGCTGGTACGCCTTGTCCTAGGAGGAGCACGCAGGAGGGAGTGTACGCAATCACGCATGTCAGCGACGTTCGCGAGTCGCGACAGCTGCGGCAGGAGGGGCCAGCTGGGGTAGGAGCAGCATGCGGAGGATGAGGGAGACATTCGTCGCTCGCGGTGGCCAACTCTTAGCCTGTGCGGCGACTGAGATGCCGTGCAGCAGCTTTGGCGCGTGTTGGGTGTCAAAGCTCTGCCCGCATGTCCGGCCCCAAGCTATGCTGCTAATGCTGGCACGCACCGTGCCGGTGGCCGTGAGAGTGGCCTTGACCGCGTAGACCGGCTCCTTGAATTCGTGCTGTGAACGGTTGGGAGGGGGCCATGTGCAACCGGGGCCGTCTCCGCCATCCGGCCCCAAAGAACAGCGCGATGTGCCACCCGAGCCTCAAACTGCAAGTAAGGCAGCCACACTGCCGCCATCGATGCACTGAGTCAATCCTCTGCTCTTGATCAAGACACTCTCAAGCTGATAACGCTCAAAAGACTCCCCAAACCCTTTCAGTGCCCCCAAACCGCACGACTGCCCTCACTCCGCCACTGGTTCCCTAGACCCGCTCCCACGACCCTCACCGTTGTGGGTGGCAAGTCATTGACATAGTTGATCCATCCGTGCCACTCAGGCGGGATGGTGGTGGGGTTGTACGCATTTGTCTTGGTCTCCGCATAGATCACCCACCGCTTGCGGGCTGGTCGAACCAAGGAAGAGGGGAGGCCACGGTCAGCTGCTGCCTCATTGCTGCAACAATATAACTATATATTGCTGCACTGAGCGGCACCAGGCAAAGCCACGAGCACAGCAGCATCAACTTGTGCAGCAGCAGCGGCAAGCGCCAGCGCGCACACCGACATGGGTGCTGCGTGCACCCGTGCTCGCGGTGCGTGCGCTGCATCCACAGATACGCACTATACCCTGAGTCGTTGTTTTCAAAGTAGCGGTTGCCATTGTAGTCCGTGCCCACCAGCGTTCCCCGCGGGCCTTGCTCCATCAGCTGGATCCTGCGGGGGACCTCAGCACGTTCAGGACAAATCGAAAGCATAATTTCTGCCCCTGTAGCAGCCGGACACTCACCAGCGGTTGCCATCGAAGAAGAACCGCACCCAGGCGATCCCCTTGTCCACGCGCCCGACCTCCAGTGCCTTGCTAACCCAGGCACGGAGCCCAGACATTCCTGCTCCTCCCCTTTGCGCCCAGGCCTTTGCCGGTGATCTGCTAAGTGCACTTGCCAAGCTGGCGCACAGAGTACCCTTGCCAGGGACTGCGCATGGGTAGAATAATTGAAGGCACTTGAGCACGGCAGCTGTTTCCTGTGCGATGTCTGTGACCCGTGCGTCTTCGCCGCCACCCGGGCCGTCACTTGCGACGCCGAGGTGGACGGCAAGGCAAGCTCTCTTGCCGGGAGGATACCCAGACGGCGTTCAAGTGGAGTCGTTGAGCAGAGGCTTGTGCATGCTGAGACTGCATGTTGCTTGGACCTGGCAGATCGCTGACATCATTTAGGTTTTGGCAGCACACCCCAGCAGAAACGATCGAAACTCGCAACCTCAGCACGTGCGGACCCGCCTTACAGCATCACTCCGCCGTTTCAACCCCTGCCCGCGCCCGCAGCTCGACCCGCCAAGCATCCCCTGCCGGCTGGGACTCGTACAGCCCCCACAGTGCAGCGGCAACATCGTCCGGCGAGATGAACGCAGCTCCCTCCTCGACCTCCCGCCCTGCAGCTGTGTCAGCCCGCCCCGCCTGCGATGATTCCGTGCTGCCCTTGCCCACATCAATGCTAGTTCCTTCGCCCTCCTCCTCCTCTGCGCTGCTGCGCACCGACTGCCACGCAGTCCCTCGCACGACCCCCAGCACGGTCGCCTGCCCCACAAACACGCCGCGCGGCGCGAGCGCCTCGCGCAGGCAGGCTACCAGCTTGTGCTGCGCCGCCTTGGCTACTGCGATGCCCTCGACGCCCCACTCCACCGCCTGCCTGGCCTTCAGCGGGTCGTCCAGGGCGAGGCCGCCGCCTGTGACCAGGAGGGCAGGACGCTGCTGCTGCTGCTGCTGCTGCTGCTGCTGCTGCTGCTGCTGCTGCTGCTGCTGCTGCTGCCGCTGGTCTGTGTGAAGCTGCTGTTGGGCCAGCATCAGCTCCCACTGAGGCAGCAGCTCTTGGACTGCTGCGAGCAGCCCTGTCGCAATACGGGCGTGTTGCAGGCAGTACTCAGAAATGGAAAGCAGGCCCTTTGGAAGAGGGGACAATTGTCTGTCTGCCTGAAGCACGCCTCATGCCGGTCGCCGGCGTCATGGCAACATGCCCGCCCACAAACAGGATCCTGCTGTCCAGCACATCACAACCAGCCAGTGGTGCCGCCGCCGTCTCGGGCTGCGCACTCAACACCACCTCCAAGCACCTGCCGCGGCTAGGATGCATGGCCCACAGCGGCATCATGCAGTGCCAGGGGTCAACAGCGCCAAGCATGTCGCCAGCCAACCCCGCACGCCCTACCTTTGACGCCCACCCCCATGAGCTCGTCCACCTCGCCCGGGCCCATCTCCAGCAGCGGCGTCCTGAGGGAGTTGTAGGGGTTCCAGTGCAGCACCTCCACCGGCGCGCCCATCTCACGCGCCACGTCAGCCATGCCGCGGCGGACGGCCGCCGGGTCAGCCAGGTCGACGGGGAAGCCGCGCGCAGCGATGCCTGTGTGAGTTTCCAGGGGGTTCCGTATTATTCAGTCGAGAGTGTGTGAGTAATGACAAAGTGAGGCTTGGGGGCGGCAGGGAGGGCGGCGCGTACGGCCTGGAACCCGGCGGTGCGAAACCGCCGCCCTGGGCCGTGTGGGTGTGCTGTGAAGCAACCCCAAGCGAGCAGCCCTGCCAGCGAGCAGCTGGCAACAGTCACCTGCGGCGCGCAGCTCCTCGGCGCCCTGCTGCAGCCTGTCCTCCCTCCGTGCCAGCAGCGCCACTTCAAAACCCGCGCGGCCGAAGCGGCGCGCCGTGGCGTCGGATATGCCCGCGACGCCGAAGCCCGCGACGCACGCGACGCGCCGCTGCTGCCGCTGCAGCAGCTGCGGCGGTGATGGCGGCGGCGGCGCCGATGCCGCTCCAGGCCCGGATGACATTTGCTACCAGTTTCTATTTCTTGTCAACCTAAGAGCTCAACCAGGTCACCACGGGGACCAGATCTGATTGCGCGGCGCAAGCGCGCTTGTCGCCGCTGATCTGAGAGTGTTGCAACGCTGCTCTTTTGAATCAAGGAAGCAGAGCCGGGTGGCCCCTGATCCTCATGTTTGTACACCGCTTGCAACCCCTGCGCGGTTCTGATACGGTAGCGCTCGTGTGCGGCCTCGCACTTGCGTGGTTCGTGGCGAGATGGTGCTGTCACCTGTCACCAGACGTCATTTTTGGGTTACCCGCTGACCGGCGCCAGGTATAGATCGTACCACGCCATATGTTCAACCGAATTTGTGTCCTCATATAAGTTCCTGCGCCGCTATGGGGCGCAAAGGCCCCTCTTCGGGGCGCCGCGGCCCCGCGAAGGAGAAAAGGGACCCTGAGCTCTTCAGCGAATCGGATGACGAGCAGATAATTGACGACGCGTTCGCGCAGGGCAAGGGGAAGGTCAAGCTGGGAGGGGGCGGCGAGGACTCGGACGAGATCGACGAAGAGGCTGTGTACGACCTCAGCGATTCAGATGAGGAGTCCGGCAGCGATGAAGGCGACGAGGAGGATGAGGACGATGGCGAGCCAGACCTGGACGAAGAAATCGAGCGGGGCGGACGTGCCGGCCGACGTGAGCGATGTAGCCGCCGCGACTGCTTCCGCGCCCCCGCTGCCACTGCCGATGCCATCGCTGCTTGCACAGACTCGTTTCCCAGGAGTCTGCAGCCCCGTCAGCACATGCACACATGCTGCAGAGCGTGCGTTGCGCTCCTGGTGGCGTGCCGCCACCAGCCGCCTGGTCCGGCCCTTGCACTCCAAACCCCTGCTTATCTTGAATCACGCGCACCTGTTCTGTATGTCAACCCCCAGTGGCCAAGCAGGCCAAGTATCTGGAGGAGCGCCTGAAGCTACAGCAGAAGGAGGACGAGGACGAGGGGCCCAGCGAGGGCGAGGACGCGGAGGAGGAGGCGCGGGAGCGGCTGTGGGGCACAAGCAAGGGCGCCTACTACGGCGGAGACGACGCGGAGGTGCGCATGGCGCAGGCGGTTGCGCGGCGCGGCGGCGTGGCGGCCGGCAGCAAGCGCGGGTCTGCTGCGGGAGGCTGTGGGGAACAGAGCTGCGCGCTTGCACAGGCCCCTCGATAAACGCGGCACCCCCTCTGCGAGTATTGCGCAGGAGGTTGAGCTGCGCCGGCCTTGGCCCGCCGTTCCCGGCAGGGATGCACCTGCCCTCACTCGTTTCATCCAGCAAGTCCGCCGAGCAGCCGCGCAACCGCCGCGCCACTTCACACCGCGATGCACTTGCAGGCCGTGTCAGACGAGGAGGACGCGTTGAAGGGGGAGGAGGAGGAGGCGGTGCGCCTGCAGGCCCAGCGCGCGGCGCGGCTGGACGACGACGACTACGGCCTGGGCCATGACGTCATGGGCGGCGGCGCGGGGGCGGGGGTGGCCGCGGAGGGGGAGGCGGAGGGCGAGGAGGACAAGGAGGGCGCGGAGGCGGGGGCGCGGCGGGGG